CCCCAAAACCCCAAAACCCCAAAACCCCAAAACCCCAAAACCCCAAAACCCCTTTAGTGTGAAAAGTTATTGAATTTTGCTAATTATTTAAATCAATTCTTACTAATCATGAACGTGGTACCAGTTTGAGATCCTATCAGCGTAGAGAAGGAAGATATTGCTCAAGTTTTACATGCTATTAATAAGATAACTAGCGCAGTAGAGAAATAGAAGGGAAGACTTAAAATTACTGATAAAAGATGCCCAGAATCAACTGGATTATTTGAATCAACTTAAACAGGAGCCATATTGGATAAACCATAAGGGACTTGACTTGCCAACTAAACTTACAAATTTCTTAGAGAATGATCCTAGGAACCTCTCCCTTCCCTCTCTTGGAGCTGCTCTTAAAGATGTGGATCCAAAGAAAATTGCCCACCTCACCAGTATTCTGACTAAGGTAAGTCCTTACCAATCATAAATGTGGGGTAATATCGAGTTTAGTTAAATTCCACTACTCAAGTGAAATATCATCAAAAGTCTTGCCCAGATAATGACCCCTTCTGTCTCAACCCAGATTGACCAGGTTTTGATCAAGAGTCTCTGAACTCAATCGACTCTGAAGGAGAGGACGCTATTGAATGTAGGTATACACCTTGTCAAGAAAGAGACCTGGTAGAAAACCTCCAGGCTAACGAGTTAGACAATGATATGCTTTGGATAGATGAGTCTGCACAATTTAATAAGGAAACTCCTAGATTTTTGAATGTTCCGAAGTTCACTCCAGTTTTATCTGAAGTCAAGCCTCAGAAACCTCAAGAGGAGCCCTCCTCTCAGCTTGCTGAATATAGACCATTCGGGTCTGTTCGCAAAAACAGGATTGAACATCAGGCTAAAATACAGAAAGAAAATACTAAAAGAATTAGAGCCTCAAAAGTAAACATTTGTCTAGACGATTTGGATATCCCTGAGTTAATCTCTCGTCGCAAGAGTAATCAAAAGAGCGAGGAAGCCAAGGACAAGCCTGTGTTTAAAGAGCCCGTCTCCAGAGGTACATTTCTCACTCACTAGTTATAGCTACTAAATCCAAATAAAGTGAAAATCTGAAAGAAGCTGACTAAACCAAAGTCTCCAATACCTAAGAAAATCGAGAAGACTAAGACCAAGAAGAGGATAGTCAAATAAACTGCAGAAGACCATAGAATCATATGAGAACAACACCAAAGAGAGCTTCTTGCCAAACTTGAATTTGCTTGACCGTGAGATTACCTCCCACATCTTCGAAAACAATAGTGACCAAGACAGTGAGGAGATCAAAGAGCTTGAAAGAGATGAGTTTGTCATTAACACTGCTGAGAAAGTTATCAATCCGCATGAGATCATCACTGCTATTAACTTCAAAGAGTCTCCCAAAATGCAGTGAATCTCTAAATCATGTAACGATAAGGACAGCCTGAGGGACTACCACATCTTTAGCGAAGATGAAGACCCCTACAAGATCGCCAGCGTGAAGAAATGTAAATCCTTTGATATTGCAGAGAACTTCGTTGGGTCGAATATGACCCATGAAAATAAGAACTCTAAGGCCCAAAGTTCTTTCTTGAGGAAACGAAGACTCAAGTACCGCATGTTCTCTCCACAGGTAAAGAGAGAGGCCATCCAGTCAGCCATAGAGAAAGGAGTCAAAGAAGCTTCAAAGATCCATAATGTGCCCATAAAGTCATTGAAAAGATGGATGGTATTTGGGAGCCAAAGGCAGAAAGGAGGCGGCCGCAAGACAAAAGATCCTGAAATGGAGAGAAAACTGTATAATTGGTACCTTGAGCAACAGGAAAACAATATTGTAGTCACAGCAAAGAGTATCAAAGATATGGCCCTAAAATTCACTAGATGCGATGATTTCCTTGCTTCCAAAGGATGGCTTGAAAAGTTCAAGAACAACTATAACTTAGTCATTGGAGCTCCGCAGGAAAATAGCAAGGAAAGTTAAGATTTTAATTTGATATGTTAAGGTTTCCATCTAAAAATAAAAAATATTGCTCAATTGGCATATTTTCTGAGATCCAGATCATCTTACTTCTGGGGATAAATATTTAGATCGCCTTACTCATTCAGACTACTTAAAAATACACAGTAAAATTATGAGGTTCTTTAGGTATTGGTGAATAGCGCTCAGTGAGTCTTGAGTTAGGGCCAGACCCCAGTCTTTAAGCTTATGTACAACAGGAGATCCTACCGCATATATCCAAGGTAGACTCTCATTAGCTTCAATATAAATAAATTAAAACGGGGTTTTGGGGTTTTGGGGTTTTGGGGTTTTGGGGTTTTGGGG